TACTGTATGTGGCACAACGCACCCAAGAAAAAAATGGCCATTGAAAATTCATATAAAGATGTAGCAAATACATTGAAGAATACATAAAATAGAGGTATAGAATCGCAGACGACTAGTAGTATTACAAGGGGAAAATGCCACACTAAATGGCACTTTTTGCTCTTCCATCCATCCTGACTCCTAATCTCTGTGCTATCATCGTCATCATCTTCATACTACAGTAGAATAAAAACGCAATCCATCCATCGACATATCATACTGGCAGGCACGCAGATAGTAATTAAAATGTCGATAGAAAAGACGACAACCAACAGCTACCCATGGTCCTACGAAGCTGGTAGTCTATTTCAATACAGTACTACCAATGGCGATGGGATGAAAAGTCAATTTATATCTACCTAAGTGTGTTGCAAGCCTGATTATAGCGGATAATCACTCCATACAATAGAAAAAATTGGTTTATTCAATTCTATTCTATACTGACGCTTGTAAATTATTCCATCCTATAGACGAATACTCGTCATGCATTGTACATCGTTGTTATTTTTCAAATAGTCCATTGCAGAAAAGAAAAAGTAAGTTACTTGTCCAATTTTCATGTCTACCACAAGATACCAGTCAACGTAGTGATCGCTACTGCACGACTGTTTCCAGCACACAAACCGTGTAGTATTGACAATTCTGTTTTTCTCTTTACTGTATTATTACATCAGCAAATGCAATATTGTATTCCTTGATCGACAACAACAGAATCTACAAAATATCAAATTCCAATCACGTAATGGCTTCATTCAAAATTAGAATTTAGTTCAATACCATAACGATCTAGTTGATACTAGCAATGGATAATATTAAAGTAAACGGCATTCATCATGTTTGACCAATTTTTTCAATCTCTGGAACTTCGAGAGCGCAGTCGATTGTGTGATTGATTGTATAGTTTTTTTTTCAAAAAGAAAATACAATACGATCGTTAGAGGACATCATCATACTCTGCTTTACTGCGTTAATGATATTATGACGTTGAAGTGAAATTGATTGAAAGGGCATCAAAATGATAACGAATAATAACGCTATTAATACAGATGTAGCAAAGAATTGGAGTAATCTATAGACATAAAGTGAGACAGCAAACTTTGACAATGATTACTGTAAACTAAAGCCCCAACACCAGAATGCACAACAATCAAAGATATGATTCCATCAAATATTAGTTAATAGATAAAATCTTGCCTAATTTCTTCATTTTTGATTGCATATACTGTAGGTGGTAGGAAAGATTCAAGGCCGACATGCTTACTGAAAAACTTGCTATGCCTTTATTGCTATTGCTATTTTTAATGTCTGTGGCAATAGCACAGACTGGCCCGACATCGCCAAGTAAGTATTGTTGATGGATCATTATTGTATATATACACAAAGTTGTCTTCAAATGGGTAGAAATGATTACTTTTTTATGTTATTACAATCCACTTTCATTGGTAACGCAATAGGGTTACTCATGTCAAAATGAGTTCAATAGCTACTGTCAAGGATGTAGCAACTTCTGCGGCAGTAGTTTTTGTAATATGCAATAGAAAGGATGGATCATCGTATCTCTTTTTTACTATTCTCTACATTGTAAAAGTGGAGAGTTATGATTGAAAAGAAAATTAAAGCACAAATAATTTTAAAACTCGTATCATAAGCTTCCATTGACTTAACCTAGCTATTTCCTAGCACACAATTTATTCCACCCTTTCTGCACTTTTAATTAATTAATGCTACTATCGTAAGGAAAATATTAATTCTATGATGATACGTACTATAAGTATACTTACTTACTGACTGTAGATGTACTTGGATCTAGATATACAGTACTCTTGATAATTAATAAGGGTAATTTCAACTTTGAATCAGAAATGCATTTTCAATACTACGTATTCTAAATGGGATGCATTGAATGTTAACAACAAAGATAAGTTGATAGTCTGATAGTAAACGGCAGTAGGTTAATATTAAAGTCAGAAAATAGGAAATTTGTCAATTTACTTTCCTTATTTTATTCCAGATTCATAACGACAGTATCTAAAAGTTACGTTTTTACTAGAAATCAATAAAGGTTACTTCACGTCGCTGACTAATAATTTATGATTGAATTTGAGTATGTATTGCTACGGTCTATGATTTCTTACACATTAAAGGATTACAATCATTTGATTAATCAGTATAAAGAAATGTGTCCGATGAATAATTGCCATTCTACCTTAATGTAGTCGTTATGAGCTATTTTAGTAGATCTGTATTATTGCATTGTTTATCACTGTATAATAGTGTACAGTATGTGCGAGCAATAAAGTATGACGGATCTTATCATGATTAAATTATTCATATAGTTCTATTACAACAGTAGATTCCAATACTGCAGCCGTTTTTGCCAATTTTATTTGCTATCAATCATACAGACGTAGTTCGTTAGTTATTATTCCACATTGGAATCCATCAATGGATACTCTATTCTACAAGAAGTCAGAGTAAGGTCGTGATTTTAAAAACTCTTTCAGTCATGCTAAATGGTGCCAAAAATTCGAAAACTCGCTCTTAACGTTTTCACATCTGCTCCTTGTACATTCTTGACCTATCGTTAAAGCTTTAACTCCTGACAACAGTTTGTTATCCATTTTCTATTCGTAAATAGAGTTAATTTTACATAATTACGCCACAGTTGCATTACAATCATTAAAATATTCTCTTCACCAGAAAGAATGCGTAATTACTGACTATATTGCAATATAGATTTTACTTGAGATATAATTTTATGCTAATCAGACATTTTAAAATGAAGTCATTAATTCTTTTTTGTTCATTTCTGTCTTTTGTAGACGTAAATTGAGTACATAGATGCATTGAATTCCTAAGCTGTCAACATATATACGTTAACGCTAACATATGAATCGAGATTGTGTAGACTTTACTGGCTTAGCGTTTTTGACTCGTATTATTATACAAAGTATAATTGAATCTTTTTACTTATAAAGGTTAAAAGTTAATGACATGCTGAAGAGAGTTCCGTACTTCATAGTTTTAGTATAATCCGGTGATGCAGTTTATACGGCAGTAATAGAATACTTCTTAAAGAGTCTGTAAATCGTTGATTGAGGTTTATCATCCATTAGTTTACAGTATTGGCGGTTACGTTGATTTTTTTTAACCTTTCTTGAGTATAAATTTAAAGAAAAACATTTAATGAGGTACAAGGTTCCCATGAGAATAATGCAAATTATTGCCCAAGTCCAATTATCTTGATAAACTGGTAAAGTTTCAGTAGAAACTACGCAAATGGACTAAAAATTTGTATTATAAAACAATATTGATTAATGAATTTTCAAAGATAATGAATATTATACAACTTCCAGGTAGTAAAGGGCCACCGATTCGGTTAAACATACATATTAATGTTGAAAACAATATATTGTCTTACTTTTGTAATGGATATTCGGCATTGCTTTGTGATTAATCGAAAATAATAACAAACATTTGCTAAAAACCATATCATTGCTATTGTTGAATTTAATCCTGTAAATGCATGCGTAGCTTATTTTCGCGTACTATATTATGCATCATTAGTATTGGTATCTATCAATACTGTAATGTTAAGTATTCAATTTTCAGTTATATAGCAAATAATTTAGAACTAATATAAACTATATCTAATGTTGAACGGATATAGCACGGTATACTACACAGTACTCAGGGTCAATGGATTTCTTTTTTACGCTACTGTAAAAGTATATAAAAACTGGTCAAATAACCTTTGTACAGTAGAGCTGACTACTTAGATATAGCATACAATTAAATCTTATTAAATATTTCTGTATCTGTCGTATGTATAAACGAATATATAAGGATTTCTGAAAATACAATCGAATAGTTAATATTCGAGGCACGACTTTTGCATATTACTGCGAGAGAATAAGAATTATTGATAGTTATTACTGATAATATTTCCCTATATCTTTTTACGTACTTTGTGTAATACACTGGTATAATTCATTATACGTATATCGTATGATTGTACTGTTTATCTACCATTCATACTAGTAATGAACTCTATCAAAGTTCTAATTTTTTAGAGATTTAAAAATTTTATCATTACAGCCTCTTACAGTATCGTAGACTTCATTCCTTGTTAGCCAGAGTATTATATTATGTTTTTTAGTATAGCTTAAGTTCGCTTTTTTATGCCACTTTGAATTAGCATTTTTTCTTAGATACTTATACTTTTTAGATATTACAGCTTTTTATTATACTATTATACTCCCACTTAGGTAAAAAAGCCTTCCCGTGCCATTGTATTAAGAGAGTATCCGAAGAAGGGCAACAATGCTTTGGAAATGTTTGTTATACTGACGGTGCTTGTTATTACGACTACCAACAATTAGAAGGCTCACTGTGGGTAGCTGGCTGCTTTAATCGAACTTCTGGCAACCCTTCAGATCCTTTAGATCATATGACTCTAAAGTGCAAATTACTAACTGCCAAGTATGGCAAATGCTGCTACTCTGAATTTTGCAATAAAATTAACGGAACTTCATCGATAACTACTACTCCTGGTAACAAAAATTTTGACGGAACTTACGAACGTAGTTATAGTCCAAAAATTTACTGTAGTCTGCTTTTGTTTATATCACTATACTATAGGTACCGCTGGTACAGTTTCTAGATTGAACAGTACCGAATCCTCGAGTGATTATCCAACATCAATGCCGACGGATCCCGATAGTAGTGCAATAGCGATTATAATATCAGTTGGTTTTTTAGCTATCTTGGTCGGCGTTATTATTATTTGGTGGAGAAGACGCAACGCTTCTAGCAACTGTGATTTTGAAAACGGTGAAGCTGGTACAACCAATAAGAAGCGAATTTTAGCAACAATTCAGAATTTTTGCTTTCCACCTCCTACTAACGTGGCCGAAAGCAGAAGGGCGTCAACAAGCAGTGTGGGATCTTCTGCCTTACCAATGGACCCACGTAATGGTATTTCACGCATAATGGAGCAAGAGACGGTTGCTAAGAAGACAAAAATATCGTATCCGGCAATTGGAAAAGGCCGATATGGTGCAGTATATTTGGGAAATCTTCATGGCGATAATGTCGCTGTTAAAATTTTCACATCAAAGGAAGAGGCTTCTTGGTCGAGAGAAGTTAGAATTTATCAAACTGGTAAGCTGTAGTTAGAGATTAATTGACAAAGTATTACGTGAATATTTACACTATTGCTTTAAGGATATCTCCAATATCCCAATTGACATACAATGCTATACTTTTTATAATCGTGTAGTTATGCTTCAACATGAAAACATTCTTCGGTTCATAGCCGCGGATAACAAGGACGCTGGCACATGTACAGAATTATGGCTAATAACTGAGTATCATGAAAACGGATCTTTATTTAATTACCTATCCGACACCACTTTAAATCAAGAAGCATTATTTAAAATTGCCTATTCAATTTGTTGTGGATTGGCCCACCTGCACACTGAAATGATAGGGATAAGAGGTAAAGGAATATAGGAAACAATTACACTAAATATTATTATATCGTTTTGTGTAAGTTATATGTAGTTAAACTAGTTGTAGATATATAATAGTAAAATTTTATGATGTAGGAAAGCCAGCTATTGCTCACCGTGATATAAAGAGTAATAATATTTTGGTAAAGAAAGATGGAAGTTGTGCAATTGGAGACTTGGGGTTAGCCGTGTGTTATTATTCAAAATCAAATACTATTGATATACCGTCTAACGAGAGAGTTGGCACAAGACGTTACATGCCTCCGGAAGTCATAGAAGATACTCTGAACATGAGAAGCTTCGACGCTTTTAAAAATGCGGATATCTATTCATTTGGTTTAGTGTTATGGGAAGTTTTGTCTCGAAGTAACATAACAGGTTTCACGCTCATAATTTGAATATTATCTGTGTAAACTCATAAGGTAGAGTATTTGCTTCAATCTAACTTTATACGCGTATAACAATCTTGTAGGTACTCCAGACGATTATGCGCCTTGTTTTTCGGAAATGGTACCCCATGATCCTAGCATAGAAGAGATGAGAAGAGTCGTTGTAGTAGGTAAGAGACGTCCTCGTTTGAAGAAAGAATGGGAGATTCACCCGGTAAGTGTGCCTATTTTAAAAGTTATTATTAAAACAGTTCACAGTCAATTAATAAATCTCCATTTCATATTGGTATCATATCGCTGTAGCTGCCTTCACATGAAGCATGTGTAGTTTTGAATCGTCTTTGATGAAATAGACATTAATGCCTAATTAAATGTTCTTTTATATGAAATGCAGTTCATCAGTCCAATTTGCAAGATCATTAGGGAATGTTGGTCGGACAACAATGAATCTAGACTGCCTGTGTTGCGTGTAAAGAAGACATTGCATAGTCTGTTGCATAGCGGAGATATGAAAATTTAAACTGTTTAAAATGCTCGTAATTCAAGATTCTTAACTTCACAGTTTTGCTAAACCTCGCTGGCACATAGCTTGTACTTTCTACTGTATATATTATATATGCTGTATTCACGTCTTGTACATATATCGTGACATTAATATAGAATTAATACTATATAAATGTTTATATTGCAGTAGAATACCATTTGAATGTTGCTTTTTAACATATTGTTTTTATAACAATCGAGTGGACTTATGGGCGAGTTTACTTTGGATATATTTCTGCATGAAACAAGCTTGACTGGAATTTGAACTTGTAATATAAACTTTTCTTAAATTCCCCGATGATAAGAAATTTCTCATAGTTAGGGTATTCGTGTTGCAGTTAAAATAGGTGACGAATATAATGTTTGATGCAGCGGCAACTTCTGCTTCGTAAAACTTATCTCATGACTGGTGATGTAACAATGTCTTACATTAGTTAATAATGACATATCTTTTAAATTGTACCATCGAGCTTGGAAAGTAATCCCTTCGATTAATTCCAGTGATAGTACATAGAGTATTCTATGGTTTATATATAGCAATGATACTGCTGTTAGCAACCTTGCCTATACATGTTGCTAAGCTGCATATTGTCTGATTTGGTGCGAACACGTATTTATTATAAAATATGAGTGTTAATAGTACCATATTAAAATACAGGCGGCATCATTTTGCCATGTCCTTGTATTAAATATTAGCTATTAGAAAATAAAAGAGTTCATATTACAATCATTTTGTATCTTGTTTAAGTGCTTGCTAAAATGATGGCTTAAAAACGATTCCTAAAGTGCAGTTCATTTTTAATTTCTTATCATTACGGTAGTACGTTCATGCAATAATCATGTATAATTTGTTCCATTTGACTTAAGGGGTGCAATCAACAGATATTCGCAGTCGTTCATTTAACATTTGCAAGCTTTGGGTTAAAATTATAACCAACCACACAACTGTAAATACTAAAGAATTACCGGTATTCATTATCAAGTGCTACTTAGAATTAAAATCACGTGTAACCATGAATTATCGATAGTAATGCTACTTAAAAGTAATGAAAAAGAAACCAGACATTGTCAGCATAGTTACATAATAAATAGCACCCAAAACTAATTTTATATCAATTTAATATTACTGAGTTTTTCACTGTTATGCAGCATAACTTATCCAAAAGTCCGATATCGATAAAGGAACTTTTATGTTGATATACATAGCACATGTCATCCTTCTTTCTTAAAATTGGTAGTAATGTTGAAAGAGTAATGAACAATTGAACATAGGATTTCTCTTAGAAACTTAGAGTTTTGTCGATACCTGATTCTGTTTGTCTCAGTAATGTTTTATAAAATGTAGCAACATAATCACCTATATCAAAATGATTTTGATCAGTGTTTAAATTATACGCCAATACCGATTATTTGTAGTTTAAATTTAGTACAGCAGATCTAGGCTTTAGATACTGCTGTACTACTATAGCAATTAAATTTAAGCAATTTTCACAACTTCGTTAGACAACATCATGTGATTAATTGTTAAGAAAGCCGATTTATTCAACTGAAGATAGTGATTGTCAGCTACATATTTACAAATCAATGTTAATTTGATATTACAGACCGAAAATTAAGAAGCCAACAATACAGTCAAACAAATTATAATATATAATACATTAATTTTTATGTTCATGATAAAATAAAATTTTCAGTTTGAAGACATGAACATATACTGTTATTGTTGGAAATGAAAACAATTTTAATTATTCAGGTACAGCGTGTAAGGAAATTTAGCAAAATTGTGCATTTTATCGACAATGCGAAATTGTGATGACATGTAAGATTAGAGCTATTGCTTAAAAAATTTGAACAAAAGAAAAGAAAATCCTTAAAATTTATAAATGTAACACTTGAAGGAAAATACTTCGAAATCTTTAGTTTGCTAGAAGAATATCTTCTAGCGATTGATGATTGTGAATACACAAATATATATGTGTATGTGTATATAGAAATTTATAGAGATATTTTTTATAAATTTTATATCGTAATTTGACCTAGACAAATCATAATCCAAGCAAAGCAATTTTTTACACCGACTTTGATAGTTAAAATGGTTAGCTTTGACCAATAGAATCTGATACTGTAGAATTATGCATAAAAAATAAAGATCACAGGATTACTATCCAATTTGGAGATGTTAGTAATTATCGTAGTATTTGCTAAACTACAAGTAACTATAGGATTGATCATATACTGTACTGTACAAGGTTGATTTCTATCAGTAGTAAATTATTTAATCATTAATAGTTAAAAACAGAATACAAACAAATTGGATTGTATACATAATCTTATATGCATTATACATGTAAGAAATATCTACATGTTGGAATAAACGTACGTGTATATGAGATATCAATACTCATATAAGTATATACAGTACAGTACGCGCAAATTTATGTACACTAATATGTCAATATCAGCGATACCAGATCATTTAACGATATGATATAGCTACCAAAATTAATTTCATCACTTTCAATTGTCGCTTTCTAGTTATCGCTACATTTTTGCTCATGACAAGTAGGATGTACATGCGATATAAAAGGTATTTACAGGAAGATAATATCAATAAATCAGACAAATAGTGTCTGAAAAGTAGAGATGGCTGCAATTCTACTAGTATAAAGTTATACTCTGATAAAGTGCAGATATTTCACAAAGGTAAGAAATGGCTTTATAGAAGCCTTATTATCTACTATCTCGAACACAACATGGCATTAATAGAAGCATTGGTCAAAACTTTAGCTTTGCTAATTAAAAACTAAAAAAGTCCCTCAAAAAAATGTAAAAAAAAAATGAAACAAATTAACATTTCTAACTGATAATGAATAACTATCAGGTAGAAGTAAATAAACGCGCAAGATGAAGAAGTAACCCAAAGAGGGTACGACGACAATACTTATCACAATAGGTTATAAGTTTCATTTGTCATCAAGTTCTCAATAATGACTAGCTTGAAGCGAATTAAAAAGAAATAAAACGAGGAATCCGATGGATGCATTGCTGCCGTCTATAAAATTCTGAAATATTTATATTTGAATCAACTGCCTTTATAATTTTACGCTATTGCCTCATTACTCGATGCCAAATCTTTCGATTTCTGAAATTCTAGCTTATTGACCATTTTCATCAATGTCTTCTTGACTCGTAGCATGGACAATCTTGAACTTGGATTCTCGCTCCAGCATTCTCGAATTACTTTACAGTATGGCCTTAAAATCTATTTCATCAATAGAATAATTGAAAGAAACCATACAATTAATAAAAGGCATAATCGCTGATCAACCTTCTTAATTAAGTATGATATCTTGTATATCTAATTAGATGATTTAATTTCAATGATTTTATCCATAAAAAACGATGTAATATGACTGTTAATTTACGGATTATCATAGAAACTATAACGGATCTCGAAAACTATCCTATCCTAATGGTATGATATACAGTTAGATTTAGGAGTGACCAAAATAAATAATACGCTTACCTCATGGTTCTTGAGTCTTTTGGGTATTTGTGGCCTTATTTTATCTTCAACCACTATTTTTCTCATTTCATCGACCGAAGGATCATTAGGAACTTTACCAAAGTAAGGTAGTTGATATTCATCGGCATCGGCATCTATATCATTAAGAGGAGAAATGAGAAGATGTTAATTATTCATTTTAAGCGTAAGATGATTCAATTAGTAAGTTTCACCATATCATTCATTCTCGTCCATTGAATACTTACATTCTGTTTTACATCTTCTAGCGATCTCCCATAGAACTAATCCAAATGAGTAAACATCCATTTTGCGGAATGAATCAAAATTTTCTTGATTGAATCGTTCAGTTAAAACTTCTGGTGGCATGTAACGTTTGGTACCCACTTTAGGATTATCGCCGAGATTAAGGATTCCACGATCAGAACTAAATGTAACTGCAAGGCCCATGTCAGCCACACAACAGTTACCATTGTCCATAATTAAAATATTTTTACTTTTAACATCACGATGTGCCACAGCTAATTTATCGTGCGTTCCCACAATTTCTGTATGTAAGTAGGCTAAACCACTTGAAGCCGAGTAAGCTAAACGTAGCAGCTCTAATGGGTCAAGTACTTGACGTTGTAGATAATCATATAATGATCCATTCTCATGATATTGGGTCATTAGCCACATTTGCGTGCAGGATTGGCTGGAAGTCATATCAGATGCATAATAACACAGTACATTTTCATGGCGAGTAAGGACATTTTCATAGATGTGCCGTTCACGTAACCATGATCTTTCATCGCGCGAAGAAAATATTTTGACAGCGACTTTTTGCCCATGATACTTAGCTTTACGAACATCGCCATAACGACCTTTACCTAATAATATCATAGCCAAATCAAGATATAGGTGAGAAAATGATCGATTAACAGTATGAAGAGGAAAAGGCGAATTTAAATCATTGATATAAACTTTCTGATTGATTTTAATGGATACTGCGGGAAAGAATACAGTACATAACACTTTAGAAAATGCCTCTCTAATCGCATTTTACAAGAAACTGGTTCAATTTCATCCATCTTTAGAAGCGAAAGTGAACGACATTGTTTTCTATAACTTAAATATAACAACTGCAGTATCTTATAGAAATGGATATAGCAAACTTTGAGCTAAGATTCCATAATGCAAATGAAAGACTTTATGATATTTCGATCTTTAATACTATCTGATATTACTAGATCTCAATTTATAGAATCTTTAAGATACACATTATCTAGGGTCATGCAACTTTAATGCTAGGATGGGAAAACTTATCGAAATCGATTTATAGTATTATGCAAATCTATTTCTAGCACTTTGGGTTTTGAGTACATTTGTGCCTTATAAGAGCAAAGTCAAAACCGATGGAATAATTATAGCCAATAACTTCAAATTATCTTGGCCTCTACTTACCAACAACATTTAATAATTTAACATCTTTAGCCAATGTACGCGTAGCTAGGCGAGGAACTCCTGAACCACTGCCTGAAGTCATTTCTGTTTGCATACCAGTTTGCTGCGATGTATAATCTGTGGTCGACCTTGCTGTTCGATCTGGTGGGTAGTAAGGAACTTGCTCTTTAAGGTTTAATTCTAGATCTTTCAAATTGTTTGACGATAATTCTCTCATATGGCGTTGATGCGATCTTCGTATAAGCCATACAGCAATAGCAGCTACTAGTAATAATACTAAGACAGGAATAACAATAGTTAACGCAAGCATAAATCCATCCGATCCACCAATACTTTGGCCTGTTGTGGCAGCTAGAAAGTGATATTAGGAAAGATAAAATCATACAGTTAACATTTAATTTGTATTAAAAGAGCAATCAGTGCTATAGAATTGCAATTAACTTTACTAAATAAAAATGAATGATTTACTTCTTTTATTACCTGTAGTAGGTGTAGTAATTGGTAGTGTAGCACGTATTTTATCGCTTCCAGTTCCATGAACATTATCATTGCAGTAATTACTTTTACAACACACCACCGATGAAAGTGGAGTTTGGCGGCCACAAAATTTACTTTGAAGTATATGATCGAAACAGCCATGATTTTCTTCAATAACTCCAGTGGCATTATTCTTAACAATGCTATGAAAACAGCTAATTTGAGCTGTACATGTGCGTCTTTCGTTTAATGCTGCATTGCAACTTTGCGTGCAAAGGCATATGTACGGAGGGCCCGAAGCTGCAATAGAATGAACAACAATTATGTTAATCTACCTACTTCATTTTGGTACTATGTTCTAGGATAATCGATAAAATAGATGAACAACGAATGAATTGTTTAGGCATACATGATTAAAATGATATTCGTAAATCAATGGCTACGAAATAAATACAAAAAGGCTGAAAATGAAATGCAAAAATAGAGACGATGACATTGATAGATTGGAGCTTTTATTTGTAGAATTTACGCTGCTTTATAAGACTGCTAATCAGTAAAAGTTTTAAGAATTTACTACTTTAGAGTCAAGATGTATTGAATGGAAATAATCTGGCGAGAATTACCAGCTGCATGTTTATTCGCTACCGCTAGGGTCAAGTTGAAATAATTGAGTGCATATTCATACAGTAGATATCAACTAGTGATTCGTTTTTCATGTTAGTGCAACTTGGAATATAAAACAGTTAGATTTATTGGAGGTGTCAAACCATTTCCTTTGCTATTCAGAAATTTACTCCTTGTATGGGTAGATGATATTAACTCGATAAGTTAGGAAAAGATTTTGTCATCATTGATAAATCTGCTAACATGTAAAAAGACAACTGTTGTAAGGCCCATCATTTATAAGAACTTTAGCTTCTCTTTTACCTACTGTGGTCGATTCCATCTCGAATGTAAATGATTCATTTAATGTATGATAGCATGAAGTTAACTTTTTAATGATTAATTTACATCTTAACTGGTTAGTAAATCTCCAGGATTGAATAAAACATATCAATGATCTAATCGCCCGAGCAATGAAAGGTCACCGATCTTATTCTATTAATCTGTATCATATTTAGCTTAAAATATTTAAGTATTATTCATGGCTGCATTTTTTTCAATGATTTAAGAATTAATTCCGATATTATTTCAAAGTATTGAGTTATCTATTTATTCTACCCTATTGCAATTGCCTTCTTAACGCTTGACGATTTTTTTGAAAATGACTGAATAAAAGTGATGAGTGCATTGATTATTTCCTTTGAATTTAACTTCGCAAACATTTGTTGAAACTCAATAGTCACGATCGATTGCAGTCAACATCAACAGCTGGTGGTCAAATTGAGGTAAGAGGATTAATATATACCAATTTGATTTTCTCTATTACTAGCCATAGGTTATAGCGTATTGTCTACATTATGCGTTGTTAGCATATTCTCCTGCAATCTATAATAGGCAGCAATCCGGGAGAATTTCGATAATTTACTCCCATTACAATCTTTCTTTTTCGTAAGAGAAGATTCTTTGAAATACGTTCAATATCCAGTATAACTCAGGATGATATTAAAAGATTAATAATGGTATAATGGACTGATATATTTTAAGTATGAATTTACAATACGGTTAATCGATATGAATGTGCTTAAAATTTCATGTACTTTTATATTAACTGAAACAAAATGGAGACAAGTCACAATGTAGAAGCTTACAGAAAATAATAGAATGGATAAACGATGTTCATATAAGGAATATAGAAAATAGTTTAGTATATAAAATGAAAATACGATCATTTCTAATCGACTTAAAGATTACTTTTGAAATAGTGATTATATTAACTAAGGCCGCTGATGTAAGAATAAATTTGATTATAAAAGACATGGCAGAGCTTTCAATAACTTTCCTTGACAATATTAGCAAATATTCTATAAAAAAATTGTTGTTCAAAGAGGTGTTTTAGTTAGAAATTAATGATTTTGAAGACTAGCCAACTCGACCAAATTGTTTGCAGTTCTCCATTAGAGAAATGAATACGTTAGAGGGAAAATGGCTTCATTATTCCATAGAAAATTAATAAATATCATTTGATAAGCTCCAAGTTTATCTAATCAACTCGACTTATAAGCTATTGAAAAGTCCAACTGAAATAGTTTAACTATTAAATTAATGCCGGATACGGACATAAGTGATGATCAACGAGTAATATTGTCACAAAGATAGAAAAATGATAATAGTCTTCACATGTTTTAATTGACTAGATACGATTCAAATTTATTTGTCGTAAAGTATTGAAATGTTTAGCAAACAAAATGAATGGTAGAAATTTTCTAATGCGATCAAAAATACTCAACGACGCTATTTAGCTATAGATTTGAACAACTATCTTCTCAATATGTTAAACAATCTATCTTTATAATCCGAATTCAAACGAATGTTAACCCTACGGAAATTGTATCTAGCCGTTTTTTCAGACAATCTTAACATAAAGTCACCGATGGGTATATATAAGAAAGCTGTAAATCGATTATCTTATAACATAAAGTTACCGATGAGATATACAAGAAAGCTGTAAATCAATTATCCTATGAATTATATCATTAGTCTCTTTAGTACTGCAACGGGTGCTATCGATTTGCAATATTTCCCAGGTAGATTTATTAAAACAATCAGTTAGATATTTGAAAATTGCTGCTTAGATGTTTTTTATGGCCGTATTAGTGTAAAATAAATTTAAATTATTTAAACTAGTAGAGTTTAAATCATTGTTTTCATCTTTCTCAAATGTTATCATTTGTAAATTAACTACATTAAAAGTTAGCAGGTTCCAGGTGTTCGTTTATAGTTTATTATCATGCCAATCTTGTTACTGATTAAGAATTCAATTACTCTAATTTTGATCCTATTAATATCGAAGAATATTTGGATAGTAATCGTTCATTATCATCTCGATCTTTCTCCATTAAAATTTGTTTAAATGGAGTCGTGGTAGATCATCATACTGAGCATTGATCAATCAAGTTGTTACATGATCGTTTACTAAAATCGATTTTCTTTCACAATCATGATTGAAAATAATCTTCTTCATATTGCTATGGAGATTGGTCATTGCGTTTCTGATATGATGAAGATCATAAAAGTATGGTAATTAATTACCAAAATCTGATCACTAGTTCTTCTACAACAGTGAGTCCTAAGATAGTATCCGTTATTGCTAGGTTAATATCTATTTTTTATGATGGTACATACTCATTTCATTTCAGATTGTCAAGATTTCTCAATGCCTTCCTTGCCTAATTTGCGTATTTAAGTTATATGACATGTAATGAATTAATCAGTCAATCATAATTACAGTAAGTGACATTAATTTTAACTGGCAATTTAACAGGAAATCTGACAATTAATAGAAACAACTAATTTTCTAATAGAAAAGGAAAATGGGACGGACGAGCAGATGTCATCATTTTTAATCAAAACCTTGTTTAGATGCTTGTAAATTTCAAGGATGAACAAAACTTGTGATGTTGCTAGTTGTAAATTTTTCTCATCCTCTATCGTCATTGTTATTAAAAAGTGTTGAGTTTAGTGATATAGGGAATGAAATATAAACTTGTTATTAACTCGATGATATAATTAGGGTTTACTAATCCTAAATAGCTAAAACCATGTATCAAAATTTTTCTTGATTTATGTAAGCCAATTTAGACTGATATCGTCGCAGGATAGGATCAATGCTTTCTACTTATGTGATGAGCATCTTGATGGTATTGATAATAATGTGTAAAGAACAACCAATGATAGGAGAACTCTCTTTCTTCTTTAGCTAAAAAATCAAGTCATTTTCAATCTATCGTATTCGGTGTTATTTTACATTAATGTATTATTAGTTATCCGAGAGGAAACAATCGTTACTCAATAATCATGTAATGGTGAAGGTGTTTAAATGAAGTAGAAGATCAAAGGAATGGGATATACAATTAAAGTAACGCTAATGTTAGCCAGTTGTAACACTTGATAACGGCTAATCTTGCAGGCTATATTCTATCAAGTCGGCCATGTTATCAAAAAAATTGGAAGGAGAATGGAAGAAACTAATGCACGTTATACTAACATTCTATTTATTAACTAAGGATTGACTTTTGGCGCTAGATGTGTATTTAAGCAAATTCATCCGTTGTCAATATTAAATATCGTTTATATTAGACATTATAGTGTGCGTGTAAACTTTTTGTATTTGTTCCTCAAGAAGAAACAAAATTTAAATAATCTTGAAACATTAACACCAACAGTAATCTTAACAGTCGATCTCTCTTTTCAGAATAAAGAAGATTATAGATCTTGTAGAATATATTTTGTTATGTCTTTCTTCTTGATTACAGTGAATAACTTGACTAAAGTACTGTGATCGAATTTTCGAAGGTAGGTTAATTATATTTATCCTCAATTATTTTAATTCTACGTTATCGATAGCAATCAAGACATATAACACTACGTCATCAGGTTGAATAGCTAAATCAAAAATAGTTGGACATAGTATCGTTTTGATAGGCGGATGATATTGTTGCACGA